TTGCTGCTTTTAGGCCAGGGCCACGGGGCTTTGCTATTGCTGGCAAGCTTCTTCCGGAGTTTCTTCTGCCTGCCCGATCCCCGATCGACTGCATGCCTATTGTAAGAAACCCAGCTTCCGCAAATCAAGCACGACCCAGACCTCTGCAGACGAAGACGATGCGATGATCACCTGCTCTGCAAAGATCTACAGCTGGGAAGTTGCTTTCATCGTCCCCAATATGGCGTACGGCCGTGGGGCACCTGCGGGGAGATCACCACTTTGCCATCACAAGAGAAACCAGGCTTCCTCGGACAGGGCTGATGCAAAGCAACCTGGAGTGGGTGCTGCCACAGCCTAGCAATTGACATCTGCATCTGACACTTCTCACGGCAGAGGGTCACAACCTCGATAATTGTTCCCGATGCTTGGCCGTCCGTGGGTTCTCGCTCCTCCACCTCGGCATCAAGCATCGCAGCCGCTGCGAATTGCACCACAAGCCAAAGCCAAGGAGTTCTCGAGACCGTTCCTGTCTCCAATGCTGTGGCTGCCACGACCTCATGAGCATCCTCGTCATACATGTCACCAGCAGCGACGGTCAGCCTGAGATCAAAGTGAATAAGCAGCCACGCAAGCAGCCAGGGGTAAGGATTAGATGAGCTGACAATCTGCGCCGTACACAAGCCACAGTTCATCGGTCATCGAGATTGGTTACGAAGGCTGAATCAGGCCGAAGCTCGTGTCCACCCCAAATTTGGTCCAAACATCACCAATTTTCCGGAATAGGAGCGAGTAGGAATCAAATATCGCCTGCAATGGACACTAGACCGCTGCAATGACACTCGGAAGGTTGACGGAAGAGTACTAAATTTTGCGGCCGTCGATGCTGCAGTTATATTCCTGCCCACGCCTTGTCTTTGGCATCCATGCCTGCTGTGAAGCATCTTAGGGAAGCTGAGCTTTGGAAGGCCGGTCGAGATGACATGCAGACGCTTTCAAACCCTACCCAATTCGATCTTGACAGCCTTAAGTAACAACGAATCCTTTTTGTCCTTCGAAAACAAATGCGTGTGTGTCTGTGTGTGTGTGTTGCAACAGTGAACGAACTCTTGTTATTTCGGAAGCCATTTATTTCAGGTTCTGTTCATCCTCTTCGCTTTCCCCACTCGAAATCGGAAACGTGCGGCTTTCGTGCCTCAGACCTTTCCCCCACAAGAAAGATGACAATTTAGTTTCTGGTTTTTCTTCGCGGATGCTTTGTGAAAGTTAAAATGGAAGAGTTGAGTCAGGCTTACCGGCGACCAAAAAGTAAGGCCCTGACAAATTCTTTAACCTTCCCTTGCACTCTCCGCGAGGCTTTTTCGTGAGATCCGACCTTTAAAGCTCTGTGCTCAAGTCCAAGCGCTACCGTCGCATCGATCATGTTTTCCGAACGTCGCACAACCCAGCTCCAAAGTCCACAGCAACGGTCTGAGCTCTGCTGGCAAAGTGCGAAAAGCTGGAACAAGCTGCTGAAGACGGGCCACTCACGCTTCGCTCGATTTAAAACAGACGGGATCACGACGTAGTCAAAGGGAGAAGGTAAACTTGGGGTGACATCACGGTTGTCAGGGTTGAGGCTTCTGTTATTGGGATCTGAGCTGAGACCTGGATGCTGGGCTATGTGTGGACTTTTGGGGAACATTGCACGTGGAATCGCATGCACATGCCAGAGTCGTGCACCGGAAACTTCACGACGCTGCACGGCGCAAGAGCCTGAAAACTTAGCTGTGATTCCATAGAACCTCCGCGGATACCTGAATCCCCCTAGCCCCTACACGAACCTCAGAGACCGTAGATACATCCCGACACATCCTCAACCCAAGTGAAAATCCAAACCCCAAAACAAGCAACCTAAAGGCCCAAAACCACGTGCTGTGTCCTGTTGCACAAAGCCCACAGAAGTCAGAAGCCAAACCCTAAAAATGCATGAGCCCCTTAACCACAAACACCCGAAAGCATTTCCCTTGAATCGCAAGTGTTTTGCGCACAAGCCGTGCCTAAACCGATAGTGCCTAAACCTGGATTGTGCTCAAAGCGAGCGTACTCGAATCATGCTTATTTCATTCAAGTACGCATACTTAATCCGCAATGCTTGAATGACGCATGCTTCAACTGCAACGCGTGAATCGAGGCGGTTCTCGAATCGCTTGACCGCATACCTACAGAAACGGTGGCTCGGACACAGGTGCACACCTCCATCATGAACCTCTACCCTGCCACTCAAACTGTTGGAGCATGCTCTCCACAGAAGCTTGGAATGTGTCTCCACGTGCACCCGCCCTCTACAGCAAGAGCATGTGCTGCACAATGCCAGCCTTCAGGCTCCGCTACCGCAGCTTCGATGTCATCCGTGATGGGAAGCAGCTTCTTTAAAGCATCCTGCGGCTCAATGCAGCCATGGCTTGCAACAAAGCCAGCGACTCGCTTCTTCCAATGTCACGGTCCACTTTGCCAAGATCTTTTGCACGTGCCATGGCCTGAGCATAAACTCTGTCATAGAAACGTGGGCGGTTTCATGGGCACCTCGGCACCTCTCATATTTGCATGATGCCAGACGCTTCCCATGGTGCCTCGTCATGGCTCCTGCGATAATTCTGCAAGTCGGCCTGGGGCAGCTGAGTAACATCAAACTCACGTGATGAAAACAAGTCGCCGCCTGCATTCTGAGAAATCCATCCATGACCTTCGCAACTTCATCTTTTGCCTGGCATGCATTCAGTTAGAACTTAGGATCTATTGGTCAATCCTCACAACTCCTGACAACTCTCTTTGAAGAATTCGTCGGAATGTTCAGAATACTTTCCCGCCTTGTCCCTCTCCTCAATCATCTGGGCTTCTTCTGCCGAGGGCTTCGCTGCCCCACACTTGTCACATTCCGTGCTGGCCGCAAAATTCCTTTGCGGATGGCAGATTTCTGCTGAAGTCGTTGTTTGGGGGAGCATACTGACAGGCAGAAGCCCAACCATCCTGATCCAACACCACCCTGCCCACAACCCTTGCCAAACAACCTGCTGCTTGAACTGAAGATCCGTAAACACGTTCATAAGTCCTTGCATACGCACGGAATCTGGGGCGGTGGCATGCTGCCACAATCAAGACATTTCCATTTCGAGGGTTTCTGCCTGTGGTCGGAGAACTCCAAGTATAATATGCAGGATACCGGCTCACAAGAGAACATGTTAACTAAAGCTCAGACAAATCAGACAGGGCTCACCAAACACTGCCAGGGTGCTCTTCTTCATCTGCCTCTCCCTCCTCCTCATCCTCTGTCTCGTCCTTTGCTTGAAAGACTACACATGATGAGTTCGAGTTGCCTATATACTTTTCCGGGGTTTTGAATGAGGCCACTGACTGGACTCCTGCGCTTCCGTTTCTTCAGCTTCAGCTGGCTCTTCAGCCTCCTCTTTCGCTTCTGCTTCGGCTCGGAGAGCGAGGACTTGCCGGGATTGCCGCGCATGAGGCGATCGAGAGAGACCGGCCAGCAGAGTCATGGCCAGGCCCAGTCCCAGCACCGACCGGACCGACCCTCCAGCCGGACCTGCCGAACCGGTCTCTGACACTGAGCGGGTTGGGCTCGCTGTCCCACTTGAGCTTCCTAGTCTTGTGCAACTGGGCCCACGCATTGGGCCAACAAAACTGCTCGGAAGCATTGAAGCTCCCAGACCCAGCACCAAGACTGAACTGCATAGACCAGCTGACACACGCGCGGTTCTTGAGGGCATCGTGCCAGCACCCGAGCCCAACTACAGCACCTAATTGGCAGCTGAAGCCTGAATGGCTTTCGAGCGGGAACCGTGACAAGGGTTCAACTTCGAATCGAAATTCATTCTGAATGCATCAGCACGGACCGGTGCAACAGGCACCCTGCACAAACTGCGGTTCCTCCTGAGGTCTGGATGAATCCGACCTTGATTACATAAACATGATGGCCGACCTACTCACAAATCTCAACTCACTGGTCAAGGCTCCAACCCGGCAACGCTGTCCTGTCAGCCAACCAGAATGACAAGCGCAGGCTACAAGTGCCATGTGGCATAAAATCCTTGTCGGTAGGTGCTGTGGATGTAGACGACACACCTTCCGAACTTTGTTGTGTAGATGCTTATGAACACTTTGAAACATCAGGTGCGGGCAAGCTCCAGCGCTTGGGCTGTCACCTTGAATCACAGTTCTTCTATGGCACCAGTTGGTTGGAGCATTTCTGTGCTCCGGACATAACTTGGTAACAGCTTCCTGGCACTGGCAGAGGGTACCACTGTTCAAGGCTGCTCAACAATATATTCAGCAAATGTCACGGGCTGAGAAAAACCGCCTGGCTGGGAGATGGCACGATCAACCTCCTGGATTGCTACCAAAGTTTAGATCGGGACGAACACATTTGTCCAATGACTGCGGCCGAGCTGAGGACTTGACCTTGACCGCCTGCATCGGCAACAAAAGAAACCCATAAGAGGATGACCTCGGCTTGATTGTTGCACTCGTGAATTCTCCGGGCAAGAGGTAAAAAACTGGGCCTTCGATCCCCGCGCAGGTGAGTCTCTCAACTTCCCACCTGCACCTGCCAGAAACTCAACGGAAGTAGAGTTTGGCTGGCTGTCTACATCCGACACTGAGACATCAACCAAGTTCAAGGTCATCTGTGGAAAAACAGGGAGACCAGAGCGCCCATGTTGACGGCCCCTCTCTCACCTACCTTACCTTGGATAGAAAGTTGAAAGGCGATCGATCGGCACCCAACCAAGAGCATCCAACCGTCGGATGGCGTGCTCTGGCCTAGCTGCAAGCCTTTCCTGGAGCACCATCCAGCGACCCGTGTGGCCCGTGTGGCTCGGCATTGTAGCCAAGGAGTGCAGGAAGGCCCCGTGGTTGCGGGGGAATCTCTGCCCTTAATTATTTTAATTGTCTTAACCAAAGAATCCCGCGGCAGACGTGTTGTCCGCCGCGGGTTTCTCACACTATCGGAGTCAGCACTGCAGTAATTACGGTGCTGCTGGCAGCATTTGTCTGCCCATCATGGGGCTCCGCTCTGTTCCGGATGTCATGTCACTCACGACACTGCCATCGTCAGAATCACTGCTGTCATCTGACCTGTTTTGACAGGGGCGAGTCTGGCTGTGACTTGGCGCGCTGTTCTGCACCGCGCTTGAAGCCATGCTAGGTGGCAGGGCTGAGGGTCCACCTTCTTGGCCCGTCGAGCCTCCACATGCCATCCACTGATCAATCATCTACCGGGAAGCGATTGTGCGGCCTCTTTGACCTTCTGCCAGGCTGCCCAACTCACGAGAAATCTGTGGGTCAAGATGGCCTGGATTCCGGAGCTTCTGACTCAAGAAGATCTGGAATGCTCTGCCTGTGCGGGTTGGGGGTCGGACACACGTCGGAAACCTCAGCTCGTCCAGACCCTATCTATTGCCAACAGAGCTACATCGGCTCCAGCAACACAGCCGACACAAAAACTGCAGCACACCGGGTAAGGAGTACGCAGTACCATTCCTGCGGTGTGAGTCATGCAAAATGCAGCGCAGATGCATGTTTTCGGTGCCCAGACAACGCATTTCGCTGTGCCAAGGGTCTGGCCCACTACGACCTGCAACAGCCACATCCATCCGACCTGGCACAGCCAGAAAAGACTCGTATGGCCGTAGGGCATGATGGCACGACAGAAGAAACAAGAATACACCGAAAGTTCCCATGCCGAATGCAACACTACAACGAACACATTGGGAACGATCGGCAGTTCATTCCGCCGTGACCACATTGCATCCTCTGCTACAGGCCTCCTTCGAGAGACATCTATCTTGAGACGAGGTTTCTGCGAAACTTGTCCCACTACAGCTGGTTTCTTGGCCCTGGCTCGAGTACAATTTAATAGTGTTCTTTACGCGCGGCCCGCGGCCACGCATGCCACGCGGACACGTAACCCGAGGCCATGTGGGTTTGGGGTTTCGCAGCCACTCACTCCCTGACAGGGTTCAGGGTTTCGCACCCACCCACTACTTTTAGGGTTTGGGGTTTTGCACCCACCCACTCCTTTGATAGGGTTCAGGGTTTCGCACTCACCCATTCCCTTGAGCATGAGGGTTTCGTAGCCGCTCACTCCTGTCAGGGTTCATGGCTTCACACCCACCCGTTCCTTTTAGGTTTCGCACTCACCCACGTTTTGCACCCACCCACTCCTTTTTGAGTTTGGGGTTTCTCACCCACTCCTTTCAGGGTTTGGGGTTTCGCACCCACCCACTCGTTTTAGGGTTTGGGGTTTCGCACCTACCCACTCTCTTTAGGGTTTGAAGTTTGGGTTTCGCACGCACCCACTGTTTTTAGGGTATGAGGGTCTCGCACTCACTCCTTTTATAGGGTTCAGAGTTTCGCACCCACCCACTCCTCTTAGCGTGTGAGGTTTCGTAGCCACTGACCTGTTTTGGGGTTCAGGGTTTCGCACCCACCCATGCACTCCTTGTAGGGTTTGGGTTTCGCGACCACTCACTCCTTTTGGAGTTGAGGGTTCCGCACGAGTTTGGGTTTCGCAGCCACTCGCTCCTTTTAGGGCTCAGGGTTTCGCACCCACCCACTGCTGTTCGGGTTTGGTGCCGCGGCTCGCGGCTTCTGCGACCTGCGGCCCACGCTGCCACCGCAAAAAATAACCTTTACCCGGCTCGAGACTCGGCGACAAAACACCCGTTCGCCGTCTCCAGGACCAGAAAACACACTCACCTCTGAACGGTGTCTTGCAGCGCCACATGCTGATGATCAGAGTTGGCCAAAAGCTTTGAGCAACAAGTGGTTTGGCCGCATATCACTCCACCTGTGTAAAGCCTGTCGCGGGGTCCATCAGAATTCAACTAACCCTAATCAGCTGGGATGCCCGACACCACTGATGACTACATTGCAGATGCCGGCGCGAATGACCTGAAGCTCCCCATCACATGTCAGGATTGGCTTCTCGGGAAGAGAGGCCGACAAACACGTCCGCGCCTTCCTGTAGTAGGGATAGATATTCTCGCCCTTCAACAGCTCCCTCGCCCTGTCATGTCGTGCCATCAAGCGCCCACTTCAGAAATTCACTCGACCTCAGGCTACAGTAGTAGATCTGCTCCTGTTGACAAAGGTTGCAGCCAAATACTCCCCGACGAACAATTTAGCGAGGGTCAGAAGCACGCCACAAAACTCACTATCCTGCCAGAGATCAAAGCGTGTGTGCCTCCGTCCATCCACGAATTGCCTATACAACCTAAACCTCCCCCACGTCTGTGACCCCCTGAAGGAGTGTGACGTGGGCAACTGCTCGATGATAGACCTGTTGATCGTTCGTTTTGCTGCGCTGCGCTTCCCAGGTATCTCATACATTGTCTGATGGCCTTTTTACCGGGTATCGCAGTAAACGTCCATTTCCCTATCCCAATTAAAAAAACACACTCTGGAAGGCTGCATCGAGTCTCATAAGCAGCACAGTGCTTGAATTGAGCGCCCGGCTTTCCCAAGATTCCACGTGCTTTGGTTGCAATCGCATTAACGTCCAAATCGAAGAATGCAGGGCCTGAGTTCTGCTGGATACGGATGCACTCATCGCTTTCCTTCTGTCTTTTCTCAGCAAGTCACAAGCCATGCCCAAGCCGGCTACCCCGATGGCTGCCTGACATCGCAACGAAAATCTGAAATCAAGCTGCCAACTCGAGCAAGCCTGATTGTAGTAGTCCTGAATCTGGTTGATGTACTTCATCGCGAGGGTGTCGTACCTTAGCTCGATTCACACGCCTCCATGTCATCTGACTGCTGTTTGACTGCCAAAGGGGCATGCGCCGCGACTACGTACTAGGTCCGGAACTAATTCCAACATTTCTTGGTAGCATGTGTTTTGTGACAGTGACTGTTGGCTTTGCGTTATGGTCTGTTCGCTATGGACGGGAGTACCTGGTTCGAACTGCGATCGATCACCCTCTCGGTGTTTGCGGCGTTTTCGCACAAGTCTCGCCTAGGCGACGTGTGCGTTTGTGGCCTGCAAACATCAAGAAGTGCCCTGAGCATCGCAAGCTCTGGGAGTCACGCTTCAGGGTTCAGGGTTTCGACTCTCACAACTGGGACAAGCCAGGCGAGGTCGTTGAGCAATCACGGTCCAACGGTAGCGAGCTCGATTCGAATCAGTCATCCCTCGAATTCGGACGTTGCCTCTTGCAGGCTTCAGATTTGGTGGTTCGAGCACGGGGTTCAGGATTTAGGGTTTCAGCGCCACGGGTTTTGAGTTTAGGGCATCATCTCCCTGCACGGCGGCTGAGGATCCCTTCGATGGCGCCACCTCGTGCCACGGTGGCTGTGTTGCGTCTTGTGTCAAGCGACTTCTTGCAGGCTTCAGATTTGGTGGTTCGAGGACGGGGTTCAGGATTTAGGGTTTCAGCGCCACGGGTTTTGAGTTTAGGGCATCATCTCCCTGCACGGCGGCTGAGGATCCCTTCGATGGCGCCACCTCGTGCCACGGTGGCTGTGTTGCGTCTTGTGTCAAGCGACTTGCCTTTGTGGCAGAAACCGGGGCCGAAATTCGATTGTTACAACCGTCTTGACGACACCCCAAGTCACTACCCACACCATGTCCTGTGATTTTTCTTGAGGGTTGACGGCCTCAATTCCAACATGTGGCGTTTTTCGAAGTGGACGACGGCACCTGTTGTTGGCCAGTTGTCTGGTCATGTCTGGTTATGGATGAGGTCCAGGAGGGTGTGAATTCAGAGTTCTGGGCCTTTTTGCCTCCGGCTTCGCAAGGACGACCTAGAGTTTTGGGCTTAGGGTTTAGGGCTTAGGAAAGACAACAAGCAGCGAGCTGGCTTGTCTGCACCGTTCGTCTAGCGGGTATCGGTCCTGACTCCATGCAAAAGCCAATTCTGCACATGCAAGCATATGTTGGAGCTCGAATGCGGTGTGCCCCCATCGTACCCCTGCCATGGTGAGCATCGTCCCAAAAGAATAGACAGGAAAATGCGTGCACCTTTCACCTGGCCTTTGAAGTTGAAGAGTGGCTGAGACACTGACTCGTCGATTGGATTCCGATCCCCGCCGCCTGGAGAGACACACAGCAACAGGTAGTCTTCAGAAGAAATGTGTCGGCAGTTCGAGCTCCGAGCGAATGTAGTAGTTTGCAATTTCTGGTATGATATACGAAATATTGTACCTCGCACTTGGTTGCGACACAAGCGGAACCCAAGGCATAGAAGTGGTCGCCGGGGGCCCGGGCGTGGTGGAATTCACGTAGGACAAAACGTTGTGATCAACATCCTCGCAGAACTTGCCTGATCAAGCAGACGCGGATCGAACACTCTTTGACGAAAACAAAGCTTCCTTGTCAACGGTGCTGATTTTGCAATGAGGCTCTGGCTGAGAGCTATTAGCACTATTGTCTCCACGCAAACCAGCACCGCAACCACAAAAACCTGAGTGTTGACTCTAGCTGGAGGTCTTGTCCAATCTCCAGAAAACTGCATTACCCGTTATGAGGGAATCATCAGGCACCCACGATTAGTCCAAACAGGAGGGCCGACAACTTCAGGCCTCAGCGGGCCGGAAACTACGACCAACACAGGCGGACACAGGCCAAGTTCGCAGCCCACATCCACGCACCTTGCCAAAGAGCTGCTTCTGCCTCGCCCAGGCTCTGCAAAGCTTCTCATGTCAGCGCTTTTGCCGCTGGGTCCAGGGCAGCAAGTGGTACATGTCGCCTCTACAACGATGCCGATGCCTCAAACATGCAGGAAGACACGAGGTCAGCTGAGGTCAGCAAGAATCACGCCCATGCTAAGGCGAGAACAGATGAAAGCCCTTAGAAGCATCACCAAACCACCGAGAAAGACACTATAATACACTATATGTCATCAGCGTGCTTGTGTTCGTGCTTGGGGCACCGGCACAAGCCAGAGCGGGGCCAGTGGGAGTGATGCAAAGAAGGGCTTTGCACCTCAGAACACTTTGAACCGGACACTTCCCAACTTCTTAGTGACGCAGGCAGATGCACTGGGCTTACGAACGATGCGTCAATTGCTTGAATTTCCCAATCTGATCAGGAATGGGTTGAACCTGGCATCGCTGAAAGAAGCTACTATGCAGGCTGAGTCAAGAAGCAAAACTATGGCAGGCACTGTCTCGACTATGAAGTACACTTGCTCGACATAGTCGTCGATCGCCCCTGATCGGACGAAGTACTGTGCTGGTTCGTGTGAGCGCGGGGCTCGTCACGAGGCATCGACCAAGAGCGCTGTGCACGAAGGTGTAGAGGACTTGTTTGGCAGCCCTTGGACTGCTAAAAAACACAACTCTCTCTGTAGTCGGTGAGGTAGCCAAGACATTGGGCTTCATGCGACGTAAAGAAAACAATCGTGTGCTACGAGACATGCTGCCCGAAAACTGCACAATGGCTCCACCTCGGATCTGTCGACAAAGCTTGAATTTTGACACGACCTCTCTGACAAAAAAGTTCAAAAACATGCAAGTGGCCCTCTGCTTTTATCCCCGCTGTTTGTCCATAACTGCCCCGTGTCGGAACTCGGCCGTGCCCTGTCCACGGTCTTGCGGTCGTATCATCGTGAGGGACTTACCTCCGCGTCAAGGCTCCGACTCGTGCCAAGATCCAGGCTCGATGCTAGTCCTGTCAATCCCCGAGCACCCGAGCAGCCGTGAAGCGCAGGCGGCTGCTAGCATGTCCCGAGCAGCAGACCGAAGACGAAGAAAAATGCATAAACAGGATACGCCCCAGCTCCGCCCTTTCAAGCAGGAGGTCAACTGTGAACTGGGCGGGCTCGCCTCCCCTAGTCGAAGCGGGTGGAACAACCCACCAAAGTGCACTTGAGTGAGAGAGGTCTCAGCGTCTCTCTCTGAGCCATCTCGGCTTTGTGCTGCCGACCGATGCTACCGGGACAAAAGGGAAACTAAATCCTGAGAAAACGTGATTGAATTGCGTGACATGCGCTGCGACCAATCTAGATAAAGCTGGAAAGCTCAAAGTGCATCGCGGGAACTCCTGAACCATGAAGTCCTCTTCAGTCTGCGGCTCTTCAGACAGTGAAGCCAAAGAAACGCGAACGATACACCCATGTGCCTCTGCAGCTATGGGTGACCGATCAAACACACTTCCAAGAGCCACCAAACGGTCTGGAGAAGCACGCTCTGAACATCTGTGAACTCAAGTCCCGTCAAGCTTGCAGTCAACAACGGGGAGACGCCGGCTCGGGCGAAGGCCGCAATGTCGAGAGCAACTGAAGAGCAGCAGAAAGGCACAGCCGCCGAGACCCTGGGAGCGTTGTCCGCCGTACACACTAACCAATCCTCTTGACACTGAGCGGTAGATCACAATAATATGTGTTCTACACCTGTTTCGGAAAAACCAAACATACCGGTCCCAACACCATCGGCGCTCTTGCTGGGATCAACTGAGGGTCTCGCTTGCTGTCCGTCTTGCATGTCAACGGGAGCTGGACGGCGCGTGAGTGGGAAAAGCAGCTTCGTGCTAGGCAGCTCAGGTCCAATGGCCTCCAACAGCTTGTCATGCAAATGTGTGACCTGAGAAAGTTTAACGTGAACAAACTGAATTGAAACCCTGCAGCTCAATGCCAGCACCGTCTCGTTGATTGTCAAACTTGCGTTTGCGATGTCGGCGGCATTGTCCTGCTCGATGCAAAACTAGAAACATGGCAGTCTGAACTGATTTCATCGACAGTCTCCATCGCCCGGTCGAGGGACGAAACGATGATGTACTCCTGAGCTAGTCACAGTTGCGCATTGCAAACAAAAGGAATGAAAGCGTGTCCTGCCTCAACCCGTTGCTAAGCACAGGGCTGTCCAAGCAGCATTGACGATCCGGGTAAGGCCACCAAAGCTGGGCCGTGCACTCACTCCGCCACCACACACAGCCAGAAGCACAAGTCACGAAGAGGCTTCTGCCCCAAACACAATAAAAGCCTTACACATGCACAGCACAGTCTACCAAGGTCGGATCTACAAATTTCCGGGCTCAGCGATCAGCCCAGCTCGGAAGAACTAGGGAAGACAAAGATCGATCCCCAAGCCAAATCAACGACGGGGAAAGTCTTGTCCAACCCTTCCCAACACCAAGGAATAATCCTCGTGACAGATGCTCTTCCTGCCTGTCGCCCTACCACCTGCAAGAAGCAATAGGATCACATTCTCCGGCGAGGCCCCGGCAAACACAGTAGGATGATGAGAAGCGCGGCACAAAACATGGGAAAACACCTGCGTGTTCGACATTTACAACTAGCTACACTGAGCTACAAAGCCGAGCTCAGCAACAGCACTCACCCTTCAGCGTGGGACTCTTGGGCCGTGGCGAGGGTCTTTTCTTCCAAGCACGTCTCGCAAACTCCTCGTCTCCGATCACTGCATTGCCAGTTGTGCCTCGCAGAGGCTGTAACAGCAAACGCCTTGATGCATCAGGGCTGCTAAGGAGTGGGCCTGACACAAATCCTTTCGTCTCGTCCTCTGGTCAAATCACAAAAACAATCAAAAACACAACCTGAAGACTTCTGTTCCCGCTAGGTCACGAACAACACCACACCCGACAACTCAAGCAGACAGCGACAAGGCCCCGTCATGAGTCATGTCTGAGAAATCCATGCTGAAGTGGTATCCTGCACCAGGCTTGCACAACGTGTTTCCGGACGGCCGGGACTTTGGTGCAGCTGGGTCATAACCTTCTGCTGCTCTAACTGAGGTTTCGACCACTGCCACCACAACATAAGCAAGCCTGAAAACTAAGGGGTGTAAGAATCCGTTCAAATGATGTGGCCAAATAGAGGTGAAAGCAAGTCCCAGACACAAGTCGTGATGGACACGACAACGCCCAGAAGTAGGAAAAGAAGTGGCACTGGAGATATCCTGGCAATTTCAATGAACTGTCCCTCATTGCACCGGCGCATCTCACCACAGCCTCAACACGAACTGGACATACTCCTCTTCCAACCTACACGCTACTTCAGATTCATTGCAGCACTACACAGTCACTACACAAAGGTTGCACCACCCTGAAATATGAGCGGCCAGCTCTTCGTACTCTGGAAACTGCTCCTCAGCTGTGCCGAGCAGTACTTTACCAACGGATCGACGCTCTTCCCTCAGGTTCTGGCAAGGTCACTCATTCCGCTGTAGAATGCAAGCCACCGATTTGGTCGAAACCGTGGTGGTTCCTGTGCATGCTGAGCACAGCCTCCAGAAAGTGCTCACAGTTGCCTTGCACTACGGCTATTTCTTCAAGCATCGCCACAAATGCTGGTCGCGGCAACTGTCGGCCGGCAGAGGTGAAACGAAACTCCATATAGCCACTTTGACATTAACTGACATTGGAGCCCTGACGGCGAAACCAGTCATCTTGCATCAGTCCTGATCTATGACCGTCTGATCCTCTTCGATCTGCGGGGCTTGATCCTGAAGTGCTTGCTGCAGCAACTCCTTCGCCCGGACCAAATCGTTGTTTGCATCTGTTGCTTCTGCAACCCAATATTCGAAATCTTTGTCGTACTTGGCCAACACTGCTGGTGTTTTGAAAAGCTCCTGGAACTGATCCCATGCCTTTCCGCTGTCAATATTGAATAAGAACTCTGAGCCTTTCCGCAGGCCTGCAGTGGCCTCTCCAACGCCAAAGCTGGTTGCTGGCTGTCGTCTTGTGGCCAGCACTTCATGTGCTGCACCGTTCAAGCCGGAATGCTTTGCAGAGGATAAAAACTCTCTGGTTTGATGTCTAAGTAGCAACGGCATGCTCGACCTAGGCCGCAAAGCCCATATCACGTCGCTGGCGCCAGTGTCTATTCGGAACTTGTGAAAGTTACCATCTGCCGCGAGGAGCCCGTGAGTCCGGGACACCATGATGGAGTGCCCTACATGGAAACAACTACAAATCTCCTGCTGTAGCCAGAACGATGGTCCAGCGCTGTAATTGAGTAAGCAACAGATCTGTTTCCACGAAATATCGAAAATTGGTGGCATGGCTCAGACGCGAACTGCACCGGCGAAGCATACCTCCGCCAATGGAAGGAACACTTACCGGATAACTGTTCGCTTGGAGCAATGGATTCTCCCCGGCCTGCGGTTTGCACATGTCGCCATCTCAGATTTAGCAAGCAAACATGGCACACATCAACGATTCCATTGACAAAAGCGACTCGATTAAAACAACCTGTCTCGCACCACACCGGGGCCGCTGCCTGCGCAATAGCCGTCTTTGCACAAGCATTTGCCCAACAAACAATCCGTGGGTCCTGCGCTGACACGATCAAGCATCAGCACCAAATGTTGAACTCGTTTCCCTATTTGCTGCGCGGTTGTCTTTGGGCTTCTCTTCGTCGTCCTTGCATACATCTCTTGCATGCCCAACGGACACTTCCCTCCAAACCATATCGTCTCGATTTTCTCCGCGTGCTAAAAGTAACAGCTCGGCAATTTTTTATGTTGTGACCATGTGGGGCGACAGCCCGGGATTGTGCAATACTTGGCTCTGGTCACCACGAGGCTAACGTGTCTTGCCCACTTACTGGCGATTGTGCACCTGCGCGGCAGCAAACTGATGATCATATGTGCGCAATTACCACACCCAACTTGTGCGATGTCCGAATCAGCAAAAAATTCCGTGAAAACAGAAGGCCTGCCTGCCTGCCGCAATGCCAGCCTGTCGCAATTGCAATTGTAGGCTGGCGGCCCCGGTGGTGGAGTTTCTCCAGCTGCGTGCAACAACGATTGCCGGCGTCCACCCTTCTGCGCGGCACGATGGGCATGCACGCCCAATAAATGCCAAGTTGCGAACGCACTTCACCGCGCAAAGAGTATCTGCCAAACAGAACTTCCAATGCCGCCCCAACATAGCCACGTGGGTGACAGTGAAAGGCCGGGCGGCAGCAAAGGACAGTGCGGCCCAATGCGGGTAGTACGACAACCCGGCCTCTGCTGCACCACACAAGCTCCAGGGAAGTACGGGCACTGATGATGGCAGCCCTTGGCGAAGTCAATCTGGAAGCAGACGCAGTTTCGCGCGACCCACACGACAATGACACTAACCAAGCAACTTGTAGCTTGCAATTCGTGCACCAGTGCTCTGGCGACCCTCCTATTAACAGCTCTAGGCAGCATGCTAAAACACTCACCTGTGATTTGTTATACAATGTTTCTTTCCTCGCCACCGTTTGGTTCACAGCGACCTAAGCTCCTACGACTACCGCCGGAACGGCAGGAGGCTCGCTCCTGCGGCTGCTGGCAGCACGCTCTTAGAGCGGGGCGTTCCACCGGTCCCACCTGCGGCAGGGCAGGCCATGCTCCCGCGACGAGGGTCCCTGTGCAACTGCGACCTACGGGGCCCGTGCAGCAACAGGACTAGGCAGAGTCCCACCACGCGTCGGCAAGGAGCTCGTGCAGGTTGGGCTCGGGGCCATCTTCCAGCTCAGCGGCGGGGCTCAAGGAGAGCGGCCACGAAGGCGCACTGGGCAGCGACAGTGAGGTGATGGCCACGACCGCTTGCTGGACGGCAATGGGCACGAGCGACGGGACCAGCCGGCTGCGGCCGCGCCGCGCAGTGCTGGCGGAAGAGATCCCAGAGGAAGCAGCCCGATTACTCGTTCCACCAACCGCCAATCTCCAGGCCCAGCACGACCAGACGCTGTCGCCCTCGCGCGATTCGGGGCAGGCCGTCCGCTTGCAGCGTTCGGCGACCGCAGCACGGCGCCATCGACTCACTCCGCGCACGGTTGCGGGCGGCCAGACCGGGTCTGCATCGCAAGAGCAACCTGTCTCGCACCACACTGGGGCCGCTGCCTGCGCAATAGCCGTCTTTGCACAAGCATTTGCCCAACAAACAATCCGTGGGTCCTGCGCTGACACGATCAAGCATCCGCACCAAATGTTGAACTCGCTTCCCTCTTTGCTGTGCGGCTTTGGGCTTCTCTTCGTCGTCTTTGCATGCATCTCTTGCATGCCCAACGGACACTTCCCTCCAAACCATATCGTCTCGATTTTTTCCGCGTGCTATAGGTAATAGCTCGGCAATTTTTTCTGTCGTGACCATGTGGGGCCACAGCCCGGGATTGTGCCATACTTGCCTGCCGCAATGCCTGCTTGTCGCAATTGTATTTGTAAGCTGGCGGCCCCAGTGTGGAGTTCCTCCAGCTGCGTGCAACAACGAGTGCCGGCGTCCACCGTTCTGCGCGGCACGATGGGCATGCACGCCCAATCAGTGCCAAGTTGCGAATGCACCTCACCGCACAAAAAACATCTGCCAAACACAACTTCCAATGCCGCCCCAACATAGCCACGTGGGTGACACTGAAGGGCCGGGCGGCAGCAACGGACAGTGCGGCCCAATGCGGGTAGTACGACAACCCGGCCTCTGCTGCACCACACAAGCTCCAGGGAAGTACGGGCACTGATGATGGCAGCCCTTGGCGACGTCAATCTGGACGCAGTTTCGCGCGACCCACACGACAATGACACTAACCAAGCAACTTGTAGCTTGCAATTCGTGCACCACTGCTCTCGCGACCCTCCTACTAACAGCTCTAGGCAGCATGCTAAAACACTCACCTGTGATTTGTTATACAATGTTTCTTTCCTCGCCACCGTTTGGTTCACAGCGACCTAAGCTCCTACGACTACCGCCGGAACGGCAGGAGGCTCGCTCCTGCGGCTGCTGGCAGCACGCTCTTAGAGCGGGGCCTTCCACCGGTCCCACCTGCGGCAGGGCAGGCCATGCTCGGCCAAGTGCTGTCTTTCATTGAACCGGAGGCGTGTCCGCGACGAGGGTCCCTGTGCAACTGCGACGTACGGGCCTGTGCAGCAACAGGACTAGGCAGAGTCCCACCACGCGTCGGCAAGGAGCTCGTGCAGGTTGGGCTCGGGGCCGAGGTCTGGCATGTGGTGCGCATGCGTCGGCGCGGCCTCAACTTGGCAAGAACGCTCCCACCAGTCAGAAGAGCGCGGGTTGGTCCGCCAGGCTTCGAGGGCCGCGGGTGCAAGGCTCTCGGCTGCAGCGCGCGGGAGTGGCACGTATAGAGCCAGGAGATAGTAGTATCGCCGCCTTTGCCAGGCGGCAAACCCGGCGACAGCCAAAAGCCGCTGGCGGCTGTTAGCGCAGCTTGGCAATCGCGGCACAGAACCAAGTGGAGCCGACGGCAATGTGACGGTTTCCGCAATGGGAGGTTGATGGAGGCTGCAAAGCAGGCAAGCGGCAAACCCCACACACCCTGGCAGGTTCCCCGTCCGTCTACACAATCATGCTCCCAGCATATTTCATTGCCGCAACGGGTGTAAGGCCCCCCTTACCTTTGCCAGGATTTGCGGTGCATCGCGCGGGACGTCTTGCGCACAACCGAGGCAGAGCCCGCCGCCATGCCGAATAGGGACGGGCGCCCATTGCATCTCACGGCGCGGCAAAAATCAACCCCAGCGGCACGTCCATGCGCCTCCCATGGCGGCGAGTCGTTGGCCGCACGGGACGGCGAACCCGGGCGCATTCCAATATGGCTCGCCATGTCGTGCATTCAGTCCAGCCTTCGTCGGAGAAGAGCGCCCGCGTTTCTTCGGCCTCGCGAAGGCACGAGGAGGCGGTTGATTTTCCAAAATGACTGAGCTGTAATTTTCCTCGGCTACATTCCCCGAGGACGCTCCGAAAAAAAAACAATGATACTAGATCGTTTACACTCGTTCATTTCAAAAGGTGTGGGCATCCAAATAACCTTTCTCCCGGCTGCAACGTTCGGCCTTGGCTCAGCAGTGACTCGCGAATGCTCCATGGGGTTCGGGGCCGCCGCGGGTCCTCGCCATCTTCGCCCCCATTGCCTGCCCCAGCTTGACAGAAAACAAAGTATGTCCCTTTTAGTCTGCCATCCACTGGCTCCGCGGCCATAACACCCACAGGACACCATGCGAAAAGTATGCGATGGGCTTTTGGGCCGCGAGCTGTCACTGCGCCTCCTGTACTATAGTTCCGCTTCCCAGCAAGTGATACGTGTGGTATGGCTCTGCAGTTCTTGTGCTCTACAACTGTAACGCCAGAAGCGACAACCGCACAGCCTGCCCGCGCCGTGCGCCGCTGTGGACGACCGGCAGCAATGCCTGGAGCGCAGCGAACATGAGGAAAGTCCTAGCCGCTGCTACATCCGAAGCCGCTTGCAGCCATTTTAACACACTGTCTACCAACGCTGTAAATGCCCGCCAGGAAGGTGATCGGGGGCGGACCGACCTTGAATTTCCCGTGGAGCCGCGGCACAAGTTTCGCTCAAGTTGCGCCTTCCTGACCTAATCGAACACATCACACATCAGGCGCATCGGAGTTGATTTTTTAGCACCCCTGTTCCCTCCATCAGCGAAGGGTTGTCTGTTTTGTTTTCTTTCTTTCGGTCCACACATAACTTTGCCCTACGGGCAGCTATTAGGAGTCACATGAACCCCCCGCGGGCCGCATTTGGGTGTTTAGATGATCATCTTACACAATTCACACTGATTCGGCGAGAACCCTACTGCTCTTTATCTAGACCGGCTTCTGCTCGCCGATAGAGCTCAGAGCTTCCGTACATGCGGAAAAAGCTAGACGTCTTTATACCACTACAAGGAATGGATGCACGCGAAGATGGGCGGATCTCTGGTTAGATGCTGGATGTTCAAGAAGACATGGGCACACTCGAAGAAGGCGGCATCATTGACCCGTTCTAGGATGCATAAGCCGTGGATTCGGCATGGCTGTGCAACGGGACATCGACGCGCACGAAGGTGGAGGTAAAGAACCATGCTCGAGGCGGACAGGTCTAGGGCTTATAGCGTTTAGGTTTTAAGTTTTATAGTAAAGCATTTGTAATTTGTAAGTTCTTGCACAATTTTGAATGCTACATCAGAAGATTCGGGGTCTTAGGGCTTTGCGCAATTATGGGTTTTGACGGTGCACTTATTACACCCACCCCCTCCTAATTTCGCAAATCTTCACAGACTGGGCGAGCAGTGGCTTCAGTCTACGGCACCAAAACGTCCGCGGCACACTCTCACATGAAAGCAAGCAAGATGTCGTGATAAGTCTCGTGCCTGGGAGTTGCTGTAACGGTGCGCGTAAAAATTAGCTAGGTTTCGCTGAATTCTCCGAAGTCTCCGACGTGGGGCATGTTTTTTGGAACAAACGCATGATGTCGGAAGAAAACACTCGATTTTGCAAATTTTGCGGTTTGCGAAGATTTGGCTCGACCGGCTCGACTGGGCTCGACTGGGCTCGACTCTCTCTCCTCTGCCTTTGCTCTTTGGGCTCGACCGGG